CTGTTACTGCTGAATTACACTGCCCTTATCTCTGTTACTGCTGAATTACACTGCCCTTACAGCTGTTACTGCTGAATTACACTGCCCTTATTTCTGTTACTGCTGAATTACACTGCCCTTACAGCTGTTACTGCTGAATTACACTGCCCTTATTTCTGTAACTGCTGAATCTATTTTATTTCACAAACATTTGATACTGAACTTGACATTTGGTACTTTCACTAAGTGATTTCCAATAAAAGATATCTTCACAGTAACTATATTAGGACCAAGTATTTAAAAGTTACCTCCCAAAGTCCTTCCAGTTTAACACTCGCCTACCAGTACATCAGAGTTAAAACTGTCAAAACCTGTTGACCTCATAAGCAACTTGGCTGGTTGTTTAATAAAAACTAAATTAAGTTTCAAAGTCTCCCTGCATTTACAATAGAATTTGGAAAAAACACTGAGTCTGACATGTTGATGAAGTCTATAAATACAAAGTACATGTAGTGGTAAAATATTTTACACAGTATCAAGTATGGATTGAATGGAAAGCTGACATGTCGACACTTTAAAATCACAATAATGCAAGTTACCTGTGATGATATCTACCTATTATTTCTACCTTGTTTCTGTGACCTTGACATCTGACCTACTCACCTGACTCGAGATACGAGTCATCATCCCCAGTGCTGAGATGTAGGATAATCTGGACAGTACTTGGGTAACACCACCTCGGTCCATCTTAAATCTCTTGATTGACCAGTTACCCTGCAATTCAGCCAAAGTTAAACACAGTTATCAGTTCCGTAAGACTGGACAGTCTCATCAATCCAGGTCTACAATGTGATGAAGCATTGATACCATTATATTGGAAAATATACTCCTGACATTGGTCCAGAAAATCTGACAAATGATGCTGGAATCCAACAGTGGTGATTCAATTGGTTGATTTCAATGGACATAAGCATAAACGTCGCTACCTCAGTTTCTTATGTGAAAGTTTTTTAGATTTCATTAACGTTGAGAAAACGACAAAACTTATAATTACCAGCTGCATTTATAATTATTATACTTATAATTCCCCACTACTGTCTTAAACATTGTGTACTTGCCATAGATATATAAGGCATTGATGACGCCACTGACAATGTCTACTTACCGTAGATATGGTGTTAATGACTCCACTGTCAATGTTTACTTACCGTAGATATGGTGTTAATGGCTCCACTGACAATGTTTACTTACCGTAGATATGGCGTTAATGTCTCCACTGACAATGTCTACTTACCGTAGATATGGTGTTAATGACTACACTGACAATGTCTACTTACCGTAGATATGGTGTTAATGACTACACTGACAATGTCTACTTACCGTAGATATGGTGTTAATGACTACACTGACAATGTCTACTTACCGTAGATATGGTGTTAATGCCTCCACTGACAATGTTTACTTACCGTAGATATGGCGTTAATGTCTCCACTGACAATGTCTACTTACCGTAGATATGGTGTTAATGACGCCACTGACAATGTCTACTTACCGTAGATATGGTGTTAATGACTACACTGACAATGTCTACTTACCGTAGATATGGTGTTAACGACTCCACTGACAATGTCTACTTACCGTAGATATGGTGTTAATGACGCCACTGACAATGTCTACTTACCGTAGATATGGTGTTAATTACTCCACTGACAATGTTTACTTACCGTAGATATGGCGTTAATGTCTCCACTGACAATGTCTACTTACCGTAGATATGGTGTTAATGACTACACTGACAATGTCTACTTACCGTAGATATGGTGTTAATGACTACACTGACAATGTCTACTTACCGTAGATATGGTGTTAATTACTCCACTGACAATGTTTACTTACCGTAGATATGGTGTTAATGAATTCACTGACAATGTTTACTTACCGTAGATATGGTGTTAATGACTCCACTGACAATGTCTACTTACTGTAGATATGGCGTTGACGAGTCCGTTTGTGATCTGATCCTGTCTCATGTGTTTAACAATATCAAACTGAGCAGCTCTTGGTTTAGGTATCGTCATGTCAGCTATCCTCTTCAACTGCAAGTTTATTCAATGTTAAAATTTGTATTCATCCCACTTATTTTCCATTAAATTTAGCAATGAAAAATCAAATACTTTTATGAGTGAATATGTTTTAGAATAACTTTTAAATTACACAGAAAAATTGAAACAATAAGATTTTATCTGCTATTTCTAAACTTTTGATCATTCAACTGTATAAAATTATTTCCACATTCCAATGAGTCCCTTTCTGTAAACATGTACAGACAGAGTCCCTTTCTGTAT